ATGATGTATATCGACTTGTCTTAAATGGCATTTGGTAATCTAGGATCGTCAACGCCTATTTCGTTTTAGAACGTTAGCCGCCCCTTCACTTCACATATACATGGCAGCCCCTTTTACCGGGCAGTCCACTGAGAGGGAGAGAGACTACATGCATTTCTGTTTTCATGCAGAGAGATAGATAACAGGTATTTCCGTTTTAATGAAGGAAACCTTAACGTAAATTCCGGATGGCCGCGTCCCTCTGTCGATTCACTTCGTCTAGTCGACTTTATGGGCGTTCGTTTTAGAGGTTCTAATGACTGACTGATTAATATCGATTTGGCCTAGTTTAAGTAAACCTTATGAAATCATTTCATGAACCGTTGTTCTTTAACTGGGCCTTAATAGTATGCTCACTTGTGAAATTGCTAAAATGTTTCAGGTAAGCAGTGTGTTCATATGGGGACGAACTGATTTCAATTGGCAAATTATTACAAGGTGAGGTATATCCTGACGCACATAACAGGGAGTTTTTATGTGATTATGATGATGACGATGATGGTGATGATGACGATGAGTATGATGATGATGATGATGGTGGTGATTATGATGATGTTGATGATGATGATGATTATGAAAATTATGATGATAATGATGACGATGGTGATGCAGAAGCAGGTGTAAACTGTGCGGAAATTCTTAGGCAGTAGTGACGACTACACGAATCAGTGACAGAAATATTGCGGAAGTTAAATTAGGATCATGGTGAATAAGGAGTTAAAAGCTTGCTTTAAGTTTACTGATCCAAATAAATGGCAGTTTTATTAACGTGCGTCCATTTGACAAGGACACATTTTACATTCTCCCATAAAGGAATTTTCTTTTGAAATGTCATCGCACGTTTTAAACGATTGAACTATTAATTGCGTTCAGTAGTGCGAAATTCGGCAAAATTATTCAAAAAATGAAGCAAATACAAAGGATATTGTCTAAATTTAATTTCGGAAGGTAGGCATTAAAAGAAATGAAGCCAAAAACCCGAGCGTCCTTGGTTGTCATTATATCGGCTTGATGCGAAAGATCGAAATTATTGGTGCAGCTTCAACATTGATACCTGATACATAAGCATTCAGTCGTTGGAAACATTGGAAAAATAGCAGGTTGTGGCAGCTTTACATACGTGAAACACGTGTAGCCGCACTTACAAAGTGAGAACTCCATCGTGCATCGTTCAGCTAAGGGCTTAGCGAGGAAGTACACGCACTTGGGGATAGACAGGAATGTCAGCCTCTTCCCGCTTACGCCAACATCAAAGAGTGAAAAAGGGGCGATATCACTTGTCTGAAGTCGCGAGGCACACACTAGAAACTGGACACCAATTTCCATGGGACGGAAGTTGAATTGTTGGCTCTTTTTTATACAACAGAGGCCGCGAATTCCTTTGAATCAATTAACTCCGACGACTCGTGCTTCAACAGTAACGTCGGTTTGGAGGCGACGTACACCAACCTTAGGGAAGCATGGAAGACACGGCAGCCTTTCCGGACTAGAGGAAGTCAAAACCAGCTACCACCGACGGCACAATTAGATGCGGTCGAAAATTAGTTTCCGGCCGACCGCATGCGTGTAACATCTATTTTCTTCCCCACTGACCGCATAATCACATGCGGGTGACAATTACTATTTTTACCCCGACACACTATATTAGCCTCTGTTAGCCATCATTTTGAATTAACTGTTTTGTACGATTCCCATCCGCCTCATGAAGACTTGGTGAGCCTGTGTCGAAAATTCACTCAAAACACAACATGTTCCCAAAGAACGTCTTCTACCTATTTATAATTCTTGGGAAAGTAATTACTTTCATCCACATAATTATAAGAGTGACAATGTTAAGCTTTTGAGGAAATATTAGTATTATAGGGAAAGAAGAACACAGGACCGATCACGGAACCTTGAAGCACAGCACTTACCACTGCGGTAGGTTTATGCTACGAGGACCCCAATATGACGCTTTGGTTTTGATTAGAATAGTGTTATCAAAATAAAGAAGGAAAGGGGACCGCGAAAGTTTATAGCCTCTAGGTTAGCTGAATGTCGCGTATGAGAAAATATATCAAATTTTCTACTGAGATCAGTATAGATAATTCCTACAGATGGATGATAATTTGGAAGAGAAGTAAGTAGAATTAGAATCTAAAAGCCGCAAAAGCGCAACCTCAAAACAGACGACCATATGGCATGAAGTAATGCTGTAGCTGCTCCAAATCGTAAACACATAGCGTCTGCAGCTGTCAGAAGAACTGGAGACAAACACGGGCCAAAGTCAACCACGCTTGCCGATTCCACTCATCTCAGAAATTATCCATTTCCACCAAAGATATTGTGTACGATGAACGCGCTGAAGATTAGATATACAAGCAATATATTGCATTTGGTAAATTCTCATTTGACGTATAAAAACATTTCCTTATATAACTACCCATAATATGCGGTTAAATGGGACAAAACAAATTGTGCAATTACCATGCTAGTGGGAATACACATATTGCTGTAAGGAGTATGATGAACTGCAAATAAAAGCGAACATGCGTTTCCCAAGAAGCAGTTGAAAATAAGAAAACTCGATCGCTGGGAAAATATGCTTATTTACCTGACGTGTTGACCACCGTCGCGGATTTATCATCAGAAACATGGCTAGGAAGCAATAGCAGTGACGGCTAGTGCATGCACAGAAGTTTTCAGTATTTAAATTATAAAAGTCATTACTGCAAACATACAGCGACAATTTTCTTTAGTTGCCTTCTTGCGCGTGGGTAGTTTGTTGGACGACACGCGGGCTCTGACCTGTTGAAATTTCAACACTGGCGTCATGATTATTCGGCCAGCTGGCTCTCCAGTGTTGGCGTAAGATGACGCGGTGGCCTGCACATTCCTCACGTGATGACTTGCATTGGCCAAATTGAATCTTAGCATTGAATATGGATTGGGCAAATCGTTGCACTGGTTTAGGAATTGGGGGCCCGTGAACAATGAATCAAATAGTTCTCGGCTCACATGATTGTCACATCTTGCGAGAATTTCGGCCTCATCATATTTGAACGTGTGGCCTGGTGTCGCTGAATGAGCCGCAACTTGAGAACTGGCATTATTTCGCCTCACTGCTGCCGCGT